CGACGACGCCGCGGGCAGGCGACGACGCCGCGGGTAGGCGACGACGTCGCGGGCAGGGGCTACGTCGCGGGCAGGCGACGACGCCGCAGGCAGGCGACGACGCCGCGGGCAGGCGACGACGCCGCGGGCAGGGGCTACGTCGCGGGCAGGTGACGACGCCGCGGGCAGGCGGCGACGCCGCGGGCAGGGCGACGCGGCGGGCGGCGAGAGCCTGCAGGGGCGGCGCGCGGTCGGGCAGAGGCTGCGCGCGGGCCTGACGAGTCTGCAGGGGCGGCTCTCGGGCCTGACGGGCCTGCAGAGGCGGCTCGGGGGGGGCCTGACGGGTCTGCAGAGGCGGCTCGGGGGCCTGACGGACCTGCAGGGGCGGCTCGAGGGCGCACGAGGGCGCACGAGGGCGCACGAGGGCGCACGAGGGCGCACGAGGGCGCACGAGGGCGCACGAAGGCGCACGAGGGCGCACGAGGGCGCACGAAGGCGCACGAGGGCGCACGAGGGCGCACGAGGGCGCACGAAGGCGCACTAGCAGAGAAAGGCGCACGAGGGCGCACGTAAGGTAGGGCGCACGAGGGCGCTTCTAGCGGAATAGTGGGCCCATAGTAGAAAGCGGTCCTAGGTAGCAACCTAGGCTCGTGATACCATGTTAAAATCTAGAATAGAACGAGAATGCATGAAACTAGGTAGGAGGGGGATACAAGTAGGAAACCCTAACAAAGCTGTACCCCCTAAGGCTAAACCCACTATAGCCTACACAATATAAACATATAATGTTTGACACGTTGCAGCATTGACAGGCCGCTACATTGCATTGCTGGAGCGCGGTCGACCTTGACGTGCTGGAACGCGGTCGACCGTGCTGCGCTGGGAGTCGACCAGCTTGCTTGCATGCATCTAATGTAGCCAATGTTGCTTTTGCTATTCCGAACCATTATTGTAAACCTCTGTTACTGAAACTCCTGCCAAAATCTCCCCGTGAATGTGCAAGTAGAGGAAGCACAAGTGAACGACTAAGAAGCGAACGCAGCAATCACTCCTACCCCATGCCCACCCCGTAGACTAGCTTCCGTTGTATTAGTTATCTCCCCACCTCCTTCCCCCCTCCCTCCTCCCTCTGTCCCATCCTCCGCCCACTCTCCTCGGATAATCGCAGTGTTGAGAGTGCATGGAGGGAGGTAGCAGTGCTGGCAGCACTAGCACGAGCCCGAGCCATGCACCACAAGCAGCAGCAGATGCAGCAGCTACAACAAGCAGCTGATGACATCACCGCCTTGCTGGTGCACTATGCCATTGGCAGCACTGACGTGGCAGTGCCATCTGGCACCGGACAGATATCATCTGGGGGAATTGCAACGGCGTGGGGAGGAGGAGACGTGGACATGGGGGGGAGCCACAACATGGGAGAGCAACGTGGGAACGGGACACTGAAGGGAATGGAGGGGTTAGATGGGTATGCCTCTCATTCAGAATATGGATCATAGCAGGCAGCAATGTATGAGATGCAACCAACAATAGCAGGCTATGGGGTGGATCAATCAGGGAAGCATGGGATTGACCCAGGTGCAGCATATGGGATGGACTGAGCAGGGAGGCATGGGGTGGATGGGGCGACGATACTGTTGGAGCAGGGGCGCATGCAGGTGGTGACGGATGCAGCAGCAGATGGCAGCAGTGTGACATGCACCGTGTGCTGGGGCATGATTAGTGGAGCACGGTGGAAGGAGCACGTGCAGTTCTGGTGCCGGGCTGCTGCGCACGACCCGATGGGGGATAGCAATATTTCTCCTTGACTTCTCTTGTGTGAAGTGGTAGGCACTGGGGGAGCATGTGTTAGGCCATATGGCATGGTTGTGTGTGCTAAAGAGTCTTCAATGGGGCGGGGTGGAAGGAGCGCGTGCAGTTCTGGTGCTGGGCTGCTGTACAGGATTCCATGTGGGAAAGCATTGTTCTCCCATGGGTGATTCGGTAGCAGTTGTTTGCCTCGCTGGGCAGTGTGTTAGGGCCCGCTGTTTTTTACTCCTCCCTGGAGAACTCGAGTCTGGGGATTCGGTACCCATTGGCTCTTGATATGACACCTACAATCGTTTATGAACTTTGAGTTTATGAGCACCTACACGCATGCTTTTTGAGTGCTTTATGAACACCACGTGCGTCAATTTGTTCCTACCGTACATTTTTTTCTCCCCTGAATTCAATTCAAGGGGGTTCGTTCATGTGTCGCCATGGCAAGTGAACAGCGCAAGCATGTCAAATGGTGATGACATTCATTATTATGCCAAGGAGAGGCATGGCGTGGCAGCTGAGTTGAGTCCATACACGTATCTTGCTCATTTAGTTAAGTAAAAGTGATTAATCTCTAGGGGAAAAAAAAAAAAGAATGTGCGGCATTCTTTTCAATCAGGCATGAATGAAATACATTGTGATGGTACCCAACCAAATCCAATACAGAGTACACAGAGGATATGCATTACGGAATATGCATACTAAAATAAAAAGGAAGGATAAAGAAAAGCAAGTACATGTCAGCCATTATGCAGGGTTGCTATGGTAGTTGGATAGCAGCTATTCATGAGTCATTTATTGGAGAACCTTCAGCCAATGGTACAACTTTTGTGTTGTGAAGGAGGGCAGCTCTTATATGCATCACAGACGCGTGCTGCTATTCACAATCACATGCTTGAAAAGCATGACTCCTGGTGAATGTCTTGTGAGGTACCAGCAGAAATCTAGGAGTTGACTGAAAAGCCAGGAGTTGACTGAAAAGCCAGGAGTTGACTGAAAAACCAGGAGTTGACTGTGGTGAAGTATGAAAGGCAGGGCTCAGTCACAGGTGCTGCTTGGACGGAGGAAAAGAGGGACAGAGGATGAAAGGGAAAGAGCATGTTTTCAATGTGTTGACTGAGGGTTTGACACTCAGGGATCAAGCACAAGTGCTGCATAGAGGGAGATAGCAGGGGGTTTGGGGAGGAAGAAAGAGAGAAGAAAGCAGATGGAGGACGAGAGGAGGAAGGAATGGGCAGGAGGAACGTGAGGGCAAGGTGGAAGGGAGGACGGGAGAGAAGTGGAGTGCCGGGCACGAACTGAGGATCCCACTCCAGTGTGGGGAACTTCGAGATTCGGCAGCTTTGACATGTCTCGAAACCAACCTTATCTCAGAAACCAACCAGACATCCGCATGAAAGAAGGTTGGTTTTGAGATGTCTGGAAACCAACCTTGTCTCAAAAGCCAGTGGGGGTGGCCTTCAATTTGCACCAAACGTCCTTTTACTATGCTCCTTCCTCTGCTGCTGCCTCTGCTCCTGCTACTTCTTCTGCCTCAGATTTTGGTTCCTATGCTGACACTTGTTCCTTTCCCCCTCTACCTCACACACCCCTTATGAACACTCTCACTTGCCCATGCATTTGCTCCGATCTGACTCTCCGCCCATTCTTTTCCCGGTGCTCCCCCCCTCACCCACCCACACCCCCTCATCCCCAATAACTTTCCTCCCTCACTAACACACAACCCCTCAACCCCAAAGTCTTTCATCCTTCACCCACCCACGCCCCCTCAACCCCAAATTCTTTCATCCTTCACCCACCCACGCCCCCTCAACCCCAAAGTCTTTCCTCCCTCACCCACCCATACCTCCTCACCTGAATGTGCATCAACTTCCCACCAGCCTCCCACTTAGGGGCAGGGCAACACAGACCACTGCCCCCACAGCAATCGCCCCCATTCCTCGCCACTCTTCCTCGCCCTCAGTCGTACCCAGTCAGCTTTCTCCCTCACCTGCCATTGCAATCGCACGTCTCCCTCCACCCCATCGGCACGCGGAGCCCAGCCGGCCTCATCCCACCACAGAACTTCACCGTCCCCGGAAGACTTATGCGGTTGGAAGGCCGGATCAGGGTGAGTGTGTCGAAAGGCTCATGGCAGCCTGCGTTGCCCACAAAGGAAGCATCCCAGAAGCGGAGAAACACTGTGCTGTAGCGCCCTAAGACGGCATACACAGCGCCGCCATCACCACAGGTGCGAAAGAATGGGCCGATCGCCTTGTTGCTCGTCAAGGTGGGTGCAGTGAGATAGAGGGAGATGCCATCCGAGAAGATGCCTCCCCCATGAAAGCCTGGAGGGTGGACAGGTGGGATGGGGACAAAGGATGGGGTAAAGCAGCAAGGTCAACGGCTTAGCCTGGAAACGAAGGTCTGAGGGTTTGAGGGTCTGAGAGGGAGTAAGCAAGAGCAGCAGGGCGACCTGGGGAGGATCCGGCAATGGAAGTGGCGTGGATGGGGGAAAGGGCAGGTGATTTTGGTGATAGGGAGTACTCTTTGAGATGAGGCCTTTCCCACTTTGATGTGTCTGGGATGATGGAATGGAGAGATGTGGACTAAAGGTGGATGCTACTGGACTAGATCTTTAGCCACGCTAGAAAGCTCTGTGGCACCGACAGGACCACCCCGAGAACACAGTAAACTCCCATGTATGAGACAGACTCTTTTCAGGCTGAGTTCTAAGACGTCTCAAAACAAACTTAAAACAAACTCCCATGTATGCACGCACGCATGCACGCACGCAAGCTCGGACGCACACACATACACACACAAACGCACACACTCACCAGCATTATTCCCTTCAAACGAGCACCACTTGCACCAAATGGCACCATTCCCTGCCACTGAAAACGCCCCTCCGTTGTCTTGGGGCGCGCTGTTGTTTTGGAAGCTACATCCTGCAAACGACACATTAGCCGCACTGCTTTGGGGATTCCCCAAGTTGATGCTGACAGCGCCACCCCCCCCAAGGGTCGCTGTATTATTGTAAAAGTAGCAGTGCACAAACGTCACATGCGACCCCCTGCCTTTGGGGTTTTTCAAGTTGATGCTGATTGCGCCTCCCCCCCCAATGGGTGCAGTGTTGTTGTAGAAGGTGCATTCCGAGAAGAGGCGGTTGGGAGGGGTTGCTGATTCAGGGAAGGAGTCACTGGTGGGTTGGGGTGGGTGGGTGGGGGATAGAGGAGAGTGTGTTAAGGGAGTGAGGTGTGCTTCTGTGGAAGGTGCAATGAGGGAAGAGGTGGTGGGGGGGGTGATGGCTGTTGCTGAGGAGAAGTTGCTGGTGGGTTGGGGAGACGTTGAAAGGGGAGGGAGGAGAAGGGGTGGAAGGGGTGGATAGGAGGCAACGGGGAGTGTGTTAGGAGTATAGTAGTTGCAAAATCCCATTAAGTCGCCGTGTAAGGTGCAGCATGAGTCGACTGAAAGAGTAAGCCATATTTTCCAGTGCACTCTCGACACACACGCACTCTCACATCTGCCACATACACATCGACTTGCCACGTAAGGTGCAGCATGAGACGAGACTGACCATTTTGAGTCGACTCAAAGAACACTTCACCACTCCTCACGTTGATGTAGCATTATGACATGCGCAACACGCACTCTCACATACACAACACGCACTCTCACATACACAACACGCACCCTCACATGCACCACACGCACCCTCACATGCACCACACGCACCCTCACATGCACCACGTACTCACTCGCGTGGAGAGTTCGAATACTCTCAGCCGCACCACACGAACTCTCAGCCGCACCACACGAACTCTCAGCCGCACCACACGAACTCTCAGCCGCACCACACGAACTCTCAGCCGCACCACACGAACTCTCAGCCGCACCACACGAAATCTCAGCCGCACCACACAAACTCTCAGCCACACCACACACACTCTCAGCCGCACCACACACACTATCAGCCGCACCACACACACTCTCACACGTGCCACACACGCTCACCTAAGCATACTCTCACACTCTCATCTCTCCCTCAACACTCCACTCCCTTCACCTGAGCACCCCTCCGCCAATGCAAGGACCCCTGTTGCCAAGCCGCATACAGTGGCGTTGGCCCTCACCTGAGCAACCTTCGCCAACGCTTGGAGTAGTGTTGCTGACTAACTCGCATAGCGTCGCGTTGACCCTCATATGAGCATCCTTCTCACTCTCTCATCTACCCCTCAACACTCCACTCCCCTCACCTGAGCACCCCTCCACCGACGCTTGGAGCCGTGTTGCTGACGAACCCGCATTTAGTCGCAACGATCGCCGCCCCCACGTTAAGAAAGACGCCTCCTGCTGCCCGCTGGAGGTTGAGTTTGACCAATTTCAACTCCCCCCCTGTGGGGCCGGACGAGGGGGAGGTGAATATGGGGAAGGCGCCATCCCCGCTGATGATGCACCTGGTGTTGGGGAGGGGGGTAGGGGGGAGAGGTGCAAGAAGATGGTTGGACTTCCACCCCAGCTGGTAACCCTGCAACCCACCTGGTAACCCTGCTAAAATTGCCAGTGGCTGTGAAAGCAAATGCACCCATTTGTGAGTGTAACAGCCAAAGTGGGGTCCAGACCACTACCCTGACCCATTGAACCGACCATTCCCAAGTGACACTAATATCAACTGATAACCCTAATCAATACCTGGTAACCCGGTCACAAACCTGGTGGCGGTACAATTGCCAATGACGGTCAGCTTAGCCGCGCCTGAGAGTGCGGGGAGGGGGCTGGGGGGGAGGAGAGGAAGGGGAAGGCGGACGGGGGAAAGGGGGGAGGGTAAATGGGGGGTTAAGGGGGGGGGAATCCACTTCTCCAAAGGGGGAGGGTGGAGCGAGAAGAAAGAGAGAGGATGTAGATTAGGAAAGAGGGTTTAGTTAACTCAAGCGCGGTGCGAAAGAGTGGGCTCGAAATGAGGAAATAATTTTACATGATAGGATGATGGGAGTCGTGGTGTTTGTGGTCAGCACCAAAGCACCCGGCATTCGTGGCATGAGGTGGATGGCAAGCGCACACATGGCGAGGCAAGATGCGACATGTGCAGACATGGTTTGGAACTTACGCTTTGAGATGCACGCTGGATGTGAGAACGAGCACTGTGGGGGACGCGTTTGCTCCTCCCTGGTTTCACGCCACGTGGACACACGCACACACACAAACACGCACACAACACACACACACACACACACACACACACACACACACACACACACACACACACACACACACACACACACACACACACACACACACACACACACACACACACACACACACACACACACACACACACACACACACACACACACACACACACACACACACACACACACACACACACACACACACACACACACACACACACACACACACACACACACACACACACACACACACAGACACACACACACACACAGACACACACACACACACACACACACACACACACACACACACACACACACACACACACACACACACACACACACACACACACACACACACACACACACACACACACACACACACACACACACACACACACACACACACACACACACACACACACACACACACACACACACACACACACACACACACACACACACACACACACCACCCCTATCCCCCCAAGGTAAGCTCCGTCATCTCAGGATCGTAAGCACCTTAGTCGGCAATAGTCTACTTGCTATCGCCTATCGTGTTCTCCACGATCTCCCGAATCCAATGATATGCGCAGCTCTGTTTGAAGTTGTCAATACACACTTCAGCAATTTTCAGAATCTGATTGGTATCAATGTTGTATTTCCAGAATGAGTACAAACAGGTTTATAGTCAAGCAAGACACAAAATGCGATTCGTAACTTCACTTGTTTCCCAAGTAACCGCGTGCGCCTCGTTTCACCCCGAGTCGCACACGCAACCGAACCGAATTCGGTGAACACTCCTCAAGACCGAATCCCGAACTTTCTCGAACGCGCCTTGGTCTCGAAGCACATTTTTCCCCTCGTCAATCTCATTCTCGATGCTTCTCTTTCTCTCTCCCTCCTTCTAGCACATTTCTTCTCGATTTCTCTCCCGCTTCTCACGCCGTAGCCTCTATTCCCCACCGTAGGCCGATTTCCACCGTTTCACACACGCGCTTCCATTTCGCCGTCATTCCGCCGTCGTAGATGCTTTCGCCTTAGGTTCCGTGGTTGGGCGAACCAACCCTAACAATCTCCCCTGTGGTTCGTCAACCACGAACACCACTCGCACTGCTCCCCTGCTCCTTGTAGCCTTCACAGGGTCTAAGTCGGCTTCACGCTCCCCTGCAGCTCCTGCACCTTAAACCTCTGCTTATGTGTCTTGTAGTTGAGCGCCTTGACATCCAAACCTTGAGAGATTTTCTTATGCCTCTCGCTTCTCCTCGGCATCTTTACACCCAACACCTCTCGGGTCTCGTACCCTTCAACGCGTTCATCCTCCTTAAGCACTTGCCCCTTTGCAGTTGCATTCGCCTTTGATCCTTTCACCATGATGTCCCCTTTCACAGCTTCAACTCCCACATACTTCGCATTTACTGCTTCATCTTCAACCACGATCGCTGCTGCAAAAGTGTTGACATCGTCTCCATCTCCACCGTTTACTGCTGCTGCATCCGTGATCACTATCTCCTCTTCCTGCTTCACTGCTGCCTCCACACTCGCAGCCATATCATCCGAGTCCTCACTCTCATCATCCTTAGTAGACTCAGGATCCTCATAGATCTCATCCATATCATTCGTCGCGACCAAGTTCATCTCATAGAACCCGTCACTGAAGTAACCATCAGCATACTTCTCCCACTCAGGACCAAACACAGTCACCTCACCACTGTCATAGAATATCTTGCACCCCAAGTCATCAAGCTGTGACTGACTGACCAAGTTCACCTTCAAATCCGCAACCAGCAACACACTGTTACCTTGTAGTATATAATCCTCACTCGACTCCCTCACATTCTCCATCCAATCTGACCTGAATGTCATGTGACGCGTGCATCCGCTGTCCATGAACCATGTCGTCTTCTCACGTCCGTCCGTCTGCCGAACCTCCATTGGTAAACGCACCACGTTCGCAAGATGTGCTCCCCCCAAAATCGGATCCTCTTCTTCCTTCTCCGCTTCAGCCACGTTAGCCTTGGCCTCCACGTTCTGCTGCTGCTCCTGCTTCAACGGTCCTTTGTAGTTACGGCCGTTGGGATTCAAGTAGCAATCAATTGCACGATGCCCAATTTTCTTGCAGTGATGGCACGCACCATTGAACCTTCCGTGTTGCTGTCCACCACTCCATCCCGCACCGTTCCCTTTGTAGTTTCTACTCCTCGGGTTCTCCACACACTCAAACGCACGATGCCCGAGTTGTCCACACTGGTAGCACGCTCCCGAGCTCCTTCCAGCAGCTGCCGCATTCACCAACGCAGGCTTCTCCTCCACAAAGCCCCTTGTAAACTTCTCCCGTCGCTTCTGATGCTCTCTTGCTCGCTCCAACGCCTGAAGCATGGCAATAAGCTTCGTCATATTCTCCGGTGGGTGGCAGATCAACGCCGGCCGCTCACCCGACCAATCTTCAGGTAGCCCGTTGACGATGTGCCCTATCATCGCCCTTTCAGTTTCCGGCTCGCCCATCGCAGTCAAGTCATCATTGTAGCTCCTTGCCATGTTGACATAGTCAATAATCTTCTGGTTCGGCTCCATAGTCATCAGCAGCAACTTCTTCCTCACATCGGCGATATTCGCGTCCATGTGCCCGAGGTATGTAGACTCCATGTACGCCCATGCCGCTTGTGCAGAGCTCTCAAGCTCTGCAAAACCATCAAGACCCACTGCAATTCCGTCAGCAACGGAATGACATAACTGAAAAAACGCATGCTTACTCCTCCTCTTGTATTCCGCCTTTTCTTCATCCGATCTCGCCTTACGCGCGGCTGCGTCACCTTCTCCATCTGGTCGGTAGTACTCCCAAAAACCGACTTCCTTCGCCCTCCTTATGAACTTCAATCTCCACGTGCTGTAGTGTTGGCCGTGGAATCGTTGGGCTTCACTGAGCCCCATGGTGGGCTTTGTCACCACCCCTCCTTGCGCTAGCATTTCCAGAAGTGCCTTCACTTGGGGATCTCCAATACTCACAGAGGAGCCCGAACTAGCTTCCGATTGTCCGCCGACCATCTCGAAAGCTTCGCTCTGCACTTAAGAATGCTTAAACGCCACTTAAACCAGCTCTGATACCAGTTCTCAAGATCGTAAGCACCTTAGTCGGCAATAGTCTACTTGCTATCGCCTATCGTGTTCTCCACAATCTCCCGAATCCAATGATATGCGCAGCTCTGCTTGAAGTTGTCAATACACACTTCAGCAATTTTCAGAATCTGATTGGTATCAATGTTGTATTTCCAGAATGAGTACAAACAGGTTTATAGTCAAGCAAGACACAAAATGCGATTCGTAACTTCACTTGTTTCCCAAGTAACCACGTGCGCCTCGTTTCACCCCGAGTCGCACACGCAACCGAACCGAATTCGGTGAACACTCCTCAAGACCGAATCCCGAACTTTCTCGAACGCGCCTTGGTCTCGAAGCACATTTTTCCCCTCGTCAATCTCATTCTCGATGCTTCTCCTTCTCTCTCCCTCCTTCTAGCACATTTCTTCTCGATTTCTCTCCCGCTTCTCACGCCGTAGCCTCTATTCCCCACCGTAGGCCGATTTCCACCGTTTCACACACGCGCTTCCATTTCGCCGTCATTCCGCCGTCGTATATGCTTTCGCCTTAGGTTCCGTGGTTGGGCGAACCAACCCTAACACGTCGGAGGTGAGTTTGGCCCGAAGCCACTTTTTCTAGAACATGTTTCCTTCCGCGCACACACTGAAAAAGGAAGTCATGCGCGGATAGAGGTAGTACTAGTACTAGACGCAAGCTTGTAGAACAAAACGCGAGCTAGTACAAAACGCGAGCTTGTAGTACAAAACGCGAGCTTCAGAGTTGTTGCTCCGAGCACGCGGCCCCTGATTGAACCACATAGCCTATTTATGTGGTTCACATCATAGTACTAATATGTCATGCCCAGTACCTCGTTCGCCTTGAGTATGGCTTTTCCCAGTGTCAACGCCGCGATAGTCGCGGGACCACAGATGATTTTGATGACTATCGAAGCGACGAGGAGGGACGTGACATGGCGTGCTGTGATTGGTTCCCTAGCACGAACCATCCTGAGCCTGACGACTGGCGTTAGAACCAACTCGGGATAGTTTTGACTGAAAGATACTACCTAGAAAAGCAACTCTCGTGAGCCGCGGCAAGGCGTCGCAGTTCGATAATGCTCTGGGAGAAGCTATCAGTGCTTGAGAAATAAGTAAGAACTAAGGAGCAAATGTGCAAAATCTTGTTTTACCGAGAGCCTGGACTGCAAGATACTACTCACGCGCATCTGAACCTTCCGCAAACTGAACCATGATGCTCAATCAGCGGTAGGGCACAATTGCCAGGCGCCGCTTTGGGTTCATTCCGCATCGCAGGGCTTGCACTCATGCTTGTCAGGCGCCACGCCGCGAATGTCGGAGATCTTGAAATTGAAGTTATAGACGAGGGAGGGTAAATGGTAAGGAGAAAGAAAGAAAACACCTAGAAAGAAAAGGTAAGATCAAAGTAAAACCAAGTTGAAAAGCAAAAACAAGTTGAAAGGAAATCTTGAAGTATGGAGTAATTAAGAATGAAGAAAGCTTTGAAGGAGAAGATAGATAGACTTGATAGGGATAAAAGGGACCAAACAAGATTGGCTTAAAAGAAAGTATTGAAGAAAAGGTAAAGGGCTTGAAAGATACTTGAAAGGAGCTTGTAACGAACTTGAGAATAAGAACTTGATTATTATGGAAAGAGCTTGAATATAAAACAACTTGATAATAGCAAATGAACTTTGATGTAAAAGAAACTTGGTGAAAAATTAGAGGAAGAGATAACCACTTACTTGAAAAGAGTTCTTACTATTATGTTGTAGAAGTTGATCTTCACTTCAAGCTTAAATGTTGTCTTAGTTGTTAATGAAGAACCTCAAAGCTTGAATGTTGAGAAGTTGATCTTGAATGTTGACTTGTAGATAATGTTTGTTGAATGAAGAGAAACCTCCAAGCTTGGATGTTGAGGTTGGAGCTTGGACCTTGGGTAGAAGAATACACCAATCTTGCTTGAAGCTTTAAAGTACATTAATCAAAAGGGAGGTACATGGTGGGATCTTGAGATCAACTATCCTTGATGATCTAGAAGTAAAACTATGTGGCACAAACTTCTCTAGAATTGGAGCATATGGCTATGAGCTTGGGTTGGGAGAGGTTGGTGGTGATGATGAAGCCTTAGGAGTTGGAGCATAAGGAGGAGGACTTGAGGTTGGCCTTGAGGGAGCTTGAAGAACTTGTTGAGAGTTTGGGTATGAAGTAGCATTGAAGAATACGAGTTTGAAGAAATGAAGAGGACCCTTTTGTATTTGGTGGAGCTTGATGTTGGATGAAGGATGAGGAAAGGATGAATGGTTGTGATTGGTTGAGTTGGATAAGATGGGGGTGATGAATGTGGCCTTGAAGTGAAGGCTTGGTGAAGAGAATGAATGTGGCCTTGAAGTTAAGGCTTGGTGAATGGGATGTATTTGGCTTTGATTTTAAGGCTTGGTGAGTGGAATGAATGTGGCTTGGATTGGAAGGCTTGGTATGGAATCTTTTGTTTGATTGGTGGATAATGGGATGAGAAAGATGATGAGGATAGGAGGAGAGTTGAGGTGGAGGATTGATAGGTTTTGATTGGTAGGTTTTGCTGTCTGGAGATAGGAAGGGTGTGGTGGCGAGTGGGCATTTTTGCAAGATGCCTTTTGCATATTCGGATTTTGGCTGACGGGGAAATTGCGGCGAAAAATTTCGCCACCCTGGTGCCACGCGAGCAGCAGCCACAGTTCACTGCAACAGGAGGGGATGCATCGGACATGCGCCCCGATGTCTGTCGAGTCGAGAAGACATAAGCTACGGACGGACGTCGATCGTCAACTCGCTGAATCAAATCCTACGGATGATGCTGGGTCTTCCGAAGAATATTTTCTTTCTCACATGGACACGCACTCACGTCCGTGCAAAACGGGGATTGGCTGGATGGTCGCGCCAGCCACGGGCATTGTATGCAGCTGACGTGGCTCCCACCTGAAACCTCCCCTGGCATTCCGAGTCGCAGCAACAACAACTCACGCTTGTCACGGCTGTCCTGAATTTGTGTTTTTGTTATGAGCAGTGCAAACTTGCCATGGCAGATGAGGTGAGTTATACACCCGCTATGGCGGATCTGGCACGAGCTCGCAGAACACCCTAACAAAACATTCTAAATAAAATATACAAGGACAGCGATGGTATTTAGCTACATCGAGTCACATTTGAATGAAGTTTCTAAACACCCCCTAAGGGTGGGATTTTGATTCCGGCTGGAGAAGAAAGCATCAGCTGCGCTTCCACAAATATAATTCTAAGGGACACCTCCCGTTGCAGAAATTACAATTTCGCTTGTGCTGAAAACTAAAGAAGTTACTGAATTTATTCAGTATAGTTTTGAAACACCATGATGCTCATCATGAGGACACACAGAGAATGCGCTAAGGAATGGGAGATACACACAGAAACAAATATAAATGACAAACAACATGGACAAATCTTTACACGCCCACAAGGTGGGGGGACTGGATCTACATCACAGCAGCTATTTATGGCATACACTTGCCAAGGATCCCTTCACAT